TTCCTTCCTTCCTTCCTTCCTTCCTTCCTTCCTTCCTTCCTTCCTTCCATCCTTCCTTCCTTCCTAACTTCCTTCCTTCCTTTCTTCCTTCCTTCCTTCCCTCCCTCCCTTCCTTTCTTTCTTCCTTCCTTCTTTCCTTCCTTTCTTTCATCTCTATCTGTTTTTAAAATGTATTTTTCTCTCATACATTACATTCTGACCACTCCATTTCTCTGCCCTCCAGCCTTCCCAGTCTCCATCAACCTCCCCTCTCTCCCAGATCCAAAGTCTCAATCCTCAAACCAAACAAATTGAGAAATGAATGACACTCATTTTATTACTTATTTGTATCTTGAAAAGTAATATATAGACTGAGTAGGGTGTGTGTGTGTGTGTGTGTGTGTGTGTATGTAAACAATTAAAGAAAAAGGTCATAATTTGAGAGAGAACAAAGGAGGGCACATGGGAGGGTGGAGGGAAGAAAGGGAATGTAATATATTTTAATTTAAAAACTAAAAGTACTAAAGTGATACACTAAAATTTTATATAAAATTACTTGAGCCAGCTAGAACTTGCTGAACATGCATAAAATTGAGTAGAAGATATTCTATAATAAATTATTATTCATCTACATATTATTTTTCTATCTCCTCATAAACTTTTTACTACATAAACTTTATTACCTACAATTTTCATGTTCTCATTTACCATTCTGAGCTTCCCACTGTGATATTTCTCTTTGTATTAAAATTCACCTCTCTTTTTCATTTTACGGACTTAGGTCCCACATTCCCACTTATTAGTTTAATATTATAACATAAACTAATGTTCTAATGATAGTGATATAAGATTTGGTAGCCAAATAAAATATAAAAAAGTCCCTTTGCGAGTCATTGACTCCACTTCCCTCTAGCTTGTCTTTCCCCAGAGTCACTCAGATATCTTTGCACTTACCCATAGCTATTCTAGTAGCTAGAATGTAGATCTGGAAAAGGGAGATAATAAAATGGTCATTGTTAGTTGAAAAACTAGAGTCAGGAAGGCCATTTGCATTATAATCTAATCTCCTCTGAACTTATTATTTAAAGGCTTATGTTTTGACTTTGTGTTGTCTTAAAGAATATAGTCTCATTACCCTTTTTCCCCCTATGTAGTGAACCATTTATAATATTCTCTGGTGGGCTGTCATATGACAAAGCTTGCAGAAGACCAAGTTTAACCATCATGCATGGAAAAGCAATTACAGTACTTGAAATGGATCATCCTATTGTTGAATTTCTAACTTTATGTGAAACACCCTATCCAAATGGTAAGTAGATAAAATGAAACATTTAATTTTAGAAAAAAATATCATTTTTAAATGACAAGTTCCTAATGAAATTAAGGTTAAATATTTTCAGTTTTGGCAGCAGATATCCACTGTGGTACAACACTGTGAGCTACAGTTGCTGGCGCAGGTTCTGCATTGTACCTTCTTGGCAAACTGGAAGTAAGACAGATGTAGTGCAGCAGTGCTGGCGTTGCAGGTTCTAATACCAGGTAAGTGCTTTAAACTTTGATAAGGATGGTGGAAGCTGAGCTGGGAGGGTCCGATAGGGGTCCAGGGTGAAATCACTTGGGGAAACTGAGGTCTCCTAATAGTCTCTCCTAGACCAGCTCCACCCATCCCATCCCAATACCAATCAAAGTTAAAGCACTTACCTGATATCAGTGATCTGTAACTCTGGTGGTGCTGCATCTCTTTCACATCTGGCTTTGCTTCAGATGCAACTGCAGCACATCTGATTACTCTAGGATTGCTGATGTGTGGTTAGTGATTTATTTTAATATGGAGAAGAGTCATAAGACCATTGGGAGGAGAGATGCGTGTATATATTTATCATCTTGAGTAAAGATACAAAACCTTTGTAAACATGAAACTAGTCTAAACTCATACAAAAAAATCTAATGGTGAGAAAATAAATATCAAAATGAAAATGGTTAAAACATAAACCAGAAATATGAATTCATGATAAAAACAATATAATAAATATTACTACATTTTCAAAAAGGTACTTGTAGATATAGGTCAAACTCTTGACTTGGGACGGAATATTTGGATTTATGATTCACCTCTGGATTTATGATTCACCTCTGAAACTTATTAGCTGCTAAGTAAGACACATGTTTTACTTATCTTGTGTAGGAAGGGAATAATTTTACCCAAATATGATTAGTGGAAAGGCAAATGAAAATATTTTGTTAACTATGAAAATATGTATGTCATGTTTCATTATTAAATATGTTGATTTTCTTTAAATTATTTAGCTTTATATTTAAAATATATAGTAGATAGCAATTATGTGCCACTTTATTTCAAGAGTTACTAGAGATAAATGACCTGCATTTTTAATCAACATATATTTATTGAATGTTACTGTGGCCTCAAAACTATTTGTATTTCTAAAATTTATAGAAATATTAATGTAATCTTTACATAAATTGCATAAAGTCTGATGGGTCTATGAAATAGCTATGAATTATTGAAGTAATGCATGATTATAATGATGAATTACATGGTTCACAGTATAAATAATCCATCTCTATATCTGGTTAAAAGACTGAAATATTAATGTAAAGCCTCGATATAAAAATAGGATTTAGGAAGATTTTATTGAGAATATTGAGTAAATGTTTTGTAAATTGTGGGGTTTGGTAAGATCAATTTATGGGAAAACATCTCAGTGTTTTGGAGAAATTTGTGGAGAAGCAGTAGAACTTTGAAGAAATACTAAGATAAAAGAAAGTACTAGTTTTAGTAGTTTTCTTTAAAGGAATATATAGGTTTCACTCAGAGAGATTCTTAAAATCTAAACTCTAGCAAAGGCATTTGTAAGTGATATATATTTATTGTATCTGGGCATGTTGTTTTATTTATATAATCTCAGATCTGGGGAGACTGAAGCAAGAGGATTGCCATGAGTTCAAGACCAGCCTAGGCTACATAGTATGTTTTAGTACAGTCTCCGTCGTAGTGTAAACTGTTCATTTTCTCCAAAACGAACAAAACATTAAAACAAACCCCAAACCACTACATGTTTCCTACACAGTCACAGCATTTTGTTTTTTTTAAAGAAAAAATAGTAAGAATGAGTAGTTATTAGAGAACAAAGGAGGAAAAAATCTTGCAATATTTGCTCATGATTTATCACACTATAAATGTTCTTTGGAGTTATGAGTATAGTTGGCAAAGGAACAAATGTTAAAGTCACCTAGGAAGGAAATGTGAAGGAAACAAAAAGAAAAGTAAAACCACAGGACTAAAAGCTAAAGTTAGGGAAATTCCTCCTATAAAAAGCATTGAAATGTATATCAAATAGAAGTTGAGAGTTCATGGTTACAGAGATCAGACATATGTCTCATACATGAAGTCTCCTGAACATCAGTAGCAAGATAAGGATAATTTATAATAATTTTTAATAAAGTATAAATCTGCTAAACCCTGCCTTTTCTCTGCTAAAAGTGGATTAATAAATTGTTTCTCAGAAAACTGATAAAGAGACTTGAACTTTTCATTTGTCAGATTTGAGGAGAAATGGTTTTAATTATACTTATGGAAATATAAATATAGTAACTGCTCAAATATGTTTTAACTGTTCAAACATTGACTATATCAAAGCACCAGAAAAGAAAGCCTATATTATACATAATGAAGTTTCTCATGACCTTTCCCGAGTCACCCAGTGCTACTCACCTTTTTATTTCTTCTCTTCAAATATGCATATACTTGTAAAGATTATCTTCTTCTTTCTGCAAATGACATAATATTCTGTGCACTGTCCTATATCACTGTGTTAATATATTTCAATTATTATTTCACAATAGTTGCTAGGGAATTCCAGTCTTTATAGCTACATAGTGATAAATGTTATTCCCAGGCTAAACCAAGTTATTAATAATTTTAATACTGCTGATACTTTTATGACATCTGATGCTTTAACTCATTCTCATAACTCAGATGTTTTAACATTGTTAATGGGATCATCACCTAGAGTAATAACTGTATTCAGAGCTTGTCAGTTCCCATCTATATTTAATTGACCAGTCATCTTTAAGCCTTTCAAATGATGCATTCTCTTCAGAATAATAATTGAGATAGAACTTTTCTCATCCTTAACTTGTAGAAACAAGGGTTAAATGATGAGACACACAACCTAAAAAGGTACTTCCATTGCTTATCTATTTGCTATAAATATCACCATGTATGTTTTTTTCATATAACTTTTATAGCAGCTTAAGGTCCTTAGATGCCATTTCAGTGAAAGAGGAGCTTCAAGCCAAGGAATGTAGCTAATATGCCCAAGACAAAATTTTTAGTAAATAGGCAAAGAATTTAATTCAACATTGATTCCCAAACAATTTTTTAGTAGCTGTCATAGTATACAGAGGGCTTCTACAGAGGTGAAGCTTCTGTTGCCTCTCGTTGACCCTCCTCCATCAGCCTCTTTTTGTGTAGGAACAACAATAACTTTCGACAGATGTAACAATCTAAAATTTTAATTTATCTGTGACTTTAATTCATACATGGTAATGCTTTGGCTATTTTTATCTTGTAACACTTGCTATGAACCTAGCCAATAATGTTCCTAAGGAGAGCTCACAAAGAGAAAATAGCTAGTCATATGGAACCCTACTGTTCTTCAAACTTAGAGCTAAATTATATTAAAACAACACTGAGAAACTTAAAGCAATGCTAGAGATAAATAGTAGGAACAGGAGAATGGTTGAATCTTGGACTGTAGCAGGCTAACTATTGTCATAGAGATATTGTCATATCTAAGCACCAGCAAGTCCTAACTCTTGTTCTCATTTACATGTTTGCTCTTGTGTTTTCCTCTCGTGTACATGTTGGTTGTAAACATGAACTTGTGTAGGTACTGTAACTTCTCAGGCCTGGAAGTTACTCTGAAGGCTACCTACTCCAGTATTTAAATTTCCCACCCAAGACTTTAATCCTCTGTAGAAGATATCTGTTGAGTGATTATTGAGCTTAGGATAAAAGTAGAAACTGCTGGTATAATGAAAACAAGATGGAAAAAACAAGAGTTTAAAGTCCTAGGTTTAAATTTCAGTTTAACCGCTGGTTGATAAACCTATGTCTCTTTGGCCATGTTTCTTCAACAATATTGAAAAATAACACTCCATAAATACTGAGAATCAAAGATCATGCATTAAAATGTTTTCTTATGCACAGTTTCCTAAACCTGAGAGCTTATCATTCACCGTGACTTTCCCCATTCATCCTTTATTGTAAATGGAAAGCAATGTTTTCTTTGCCTCTAAACTAAATCACTACTCCCTGTCTTAACAAAGTTACATTTTATACCATTACCCTTTTTTACTCATAGCTCATAGTAGCTCCTGAATTCTTAGTTCTTCACTGTCAATAGCCTGCAAACATCTTTAGAACAAAAACTCCATGAGAAAGATTTACAGTCAGTCTTATTCCCCACACAGTCTTTGGGTTTTGAGACAGCTTCTGTGATATAACAGAGCAAAAATAGGTGGGAAAGGAATAGTGGGACATAAATGGGTCAAGGATATGGGAGAAGGAACAGTGGACAGAGGGTTGGATTTAGAAATGTGAAATTTACCCCACGCTGTTTGATTTTCATAGGCTTGTTTGTACTCATGCACACAGGAATAGTCTATAGGAGTATATTAAACCATATTGACTCAAAGTACACACCTAAATACATGTGTTTCACTATCATAGTGAGGTGATTGTGTATCATATCAGAAGTTATATTAGAGAAACAGAGTTAGTGCAGTCTCAGTGTGACTCCTAGTGGGCATGTTTCAAACCTAAACCACTAAGGTTATGGATGAGTCTGATAGTGACCATAAGGTTGAAGTGACACTATTATTCTTTGTTAGGCCAGGATTGCCATTACTTCATGATTTTTGGAATGTACTTGACTATGTACTATACACTTGTTCATTTTTCCTAGTTTTATTATAGATTTTAACATTATATTTGTCAAATAAACATATTTTATTAACGTATTCTTTGTCACCTTGGCTCATACTTTGGTTTTCTCATCATTTAAATAAAATGTATATAAGATAAAGGAAACGCAGCATTGGTGGCTTAAATAAAATAAGCAGTATGGAAACTTTTCAATGTTTTTCTTTCTGTTGTAGAATTTCAAGAACCCTATGCTGTTGCTGTACTTCTGGAGAAAGATCTCATCGTAGTTGATCTGACACAAACCAAGTAAGTTGTTCATAATAATACTAATTACTTTCAAATTCTATTCAGTACAATAAAATTGTAGGAGCACATTTTAGAAAACTGGCATTGAAATTCTCTAGATATTAAGTTTTTCTTATGTGAAATTTGTCTTGCTAAAGTTACAGAAGTGCAATTTGGTTAAATGATGAAAAGTGAAGTAGGAAAATTTGTGTAACAAGAAAATTTCTATTCATCTTAAAGCAAAACAGATGTTTGGACACAGCCTTTAGACACCTAGAACAAAAGAAATCACATTTTTGCCATTGTTTTAAGCAAAAGAAATTGTTACAAAACATGTACAATGTAACCGCTGGCCGTCTGTTACTCTATTGACTGAAGGAAAACTGATAAAAGAAAATTGCATGTGGTGAAACTATTTACAGACTACCACAGCAGACTGTTGAAGCCTGGGAATTTTAGGACAGTAAATGTAGTCTACCTTTTATTCATATTTTAAAATGAGGGAAATAAATAATTTTCACCCCTGAGACATAAATGTGTAGCTGGAAGACAATGTTCATCAGTTTCAAGTCTTACCTTTACAATCAATATAAAGGACCAACATCCACCATTGTAGGAGCAGTGCCTTTTATGTTTCATGTCGCATGTATTCTCTTCCTTCCTGTGTCCCTTGCTCCTCTCTCCTTATGATAATTGCTTCACTCGTGAACTCTTTCTAGCTTCATGGCACACAAACACACCCATTTAGCCCTCGATTCTGCATAAAAGAGAAAGTAGGCAGTCTTTGTCTTTTTTAGTCTAGCTTACTTAGTTTTACATGATGATTTCTAGGTCCATTCACTTTCCTGTAAATGTTAGGATTTAGTTTTTGTTTAAGATTATAAATTCTAATTTGTATAAGTACTATACTTTATTTGTGTGACCATTAAATTAGAACTATCCATTGGAACCAACTATCCATTGGTGGAATCATCAATGAACAGACAATTAAAGATAATGACACTCTTTATCCCAAAATCTATCAGTAGCAAATAGTCCAACTGTGAGGAACAGACACTCTTGAGACCCTCCCCTAGCTATACTGGATTTTTAACAGTTCTATTCATGCACATACTTAGGGAAGGTATCCTTGCTTGCTGTAAGTTTACAGTTGCATAACTGTATCTTGATGGCTGACATTTTATAGCCTTTTCCTGTATCAGCTCTTACATTCTTTTCCACTCTGCTTCTATTTTCAGTATCCCATGAACTATGGACAGGATGGTATAAATGTCTTATTTAGGGCTGAACACTCATCCATCACATGTTCTCAGTGCCCTGCAGCTATAAGTCTCTGTTTTAACCACAGTTCACTGGAAAGATAAGCTTCTAGATTAAGACTGAGAGTAGTTTATCTCTATAGGTATAAACAAATATTTAGAAAGTAGCTTGATCTATGTCAGTTGCTAAATAACAGTATTCTATTACCTATAGAGACGATGATTTCTACAGTTAAGAGTACAGAGTAGATTTACAGAAATTGACATGGATTCTCTCCAGTTGAATGAGTTCTCAGATTCAATCAGAAGCTATTTATCCATGTAATGGTAGGGCCACTCTTGCACAAATGGGATCCTCTAGCTCTCCAGGTTGGTTTTTTAGGTCATAGAATTCACATCTGTGTAACACGATCAATACTCTTTGTACACCAGTAGTCTACATAGGAGCTTCTAGAACTACAAAAACTACCTGTCAGGTAGAGGATTGAGATCACATCCAGTTTGACTATTTCTAGTTCCTATGACCATTCCCACCATGGCCCCTTTCTAGGTTCCTGTCTTATACTAGTACTCTAAATTGAAAACACAAAATTAGAGATTTGGAGCTGGGATCTTTATATGAAAGAGAGTATGATTTGTACATGATGGAAAGTATGGTGTTGGTTTTTCTGTGCCTGCCGAGCCTTACGTCAGGTTCTAATTTTTTAAAGTTACCCATTTACCTGCAAATTTCATAGCATCATTTTCTTTGCAGTTGAGTAAAAACCCACTGCACCATATTTTCATTATCTAGTCATTAGTTGGTGGACATCTAGACTGTTTCGAATCCTTAGCTATTTTGAAAAGAGCAAGCTGAAATGTGGACAAGCAAGTATTACTGTAGTAGGGGATACAGTATCATTTGTGTTTATGTTTAAGAGTAGAATAGCTGGAGAGTGTGGTAGTTCTATCTCTGACTTTTAGATCAGTGGTTCTCAGCCTGTAGGTTGTAACCTTCTGGGGATCAAATGACCCTTTGACAAGGGCCAAATATCCTGCATATTGGATATTTACTTTATGATTCATAAAAGTAGCAAATTATAATTATGAAATAGCACCAAAACCAATTTTATAATTGGGATCATCACAACATGAGGAACTGCATTAAAGGGTCACAGCATTAGAAAAGTTGTTCTAGAAGAATCTCCACACCAATTTTCTTAATGACTACAAAAGTTCACATTTCTACCAACAGTAAATCATATTTCCACAAATCATTGCCAGCACTTGTTTTCATTTGGTTTCTTGATGTTCTGGTTTGTCTCCATTCTGCCTAGGGGTGAAAAGAATCTCAGAGCAATTTTACAATTTGGATTTATCTGATGGCTAATGATAAATACTCTTCAAAAGTGTTTATTAACCATTGATATTTATTATTTTGAGAATTCTCTGTTCAGACCTCTAGTCCATTTTTAATTGTTTTTTATTTCTTTGTTTAGTTTTTCATGTATTTCAGACTTTAATCTTTTTTGAGATATATAGCTGACAAAAGAACTGCTTCCATTCTGTAGGTTGTCTCTTCATCATATTGACTGTTGCAGAGATTTTTAGTTTCAATTTTTGGCCTTACTTATGAGTGATTGTAGTTCTAATTACAACATTCTTACCTATTCCTAATTGTTGTAATCTACTCCCTCCCATCTTTCTTAGCAGTTACAGAATTCCATAGTGGTTATTTTTAACAGGGAAGGTCTAGTTTCATTATTTTGCATGCAGACATCTAGTTTTCCCAACACTATTTGTTGACAATGTTGTCTTTCCTCCAGCATTCATGCTTGTCAAAAATCAGATGTTGGTAGTTGAATGGACTTCTTGTTGGGACTCTTAGTATCATTGATCTCTATCTTCCTCTCTCCCTGTGTGTGTATGTGTGCTTGTGTGCGTTCCTATGTGCGTAATGCACACATGGGTGCATGTTGTTACAATACTCCTTAGTACTATAATTCTGTTGAATAACTTGATATCTGGTATAATAATGTCTCTATTCTTTTTGCTCAGGATTGCCTTGGCCATCCAGTGTCTTTTATGTCTCTATATTAATTTTATGATTTTTATTTCTGTGAATAATAGTAAGGGAATTTTGATTAGGATTGAATGGATCTGTAAGTTGTTTTGGTAGGATTATCATTTTTACATTATTATAACATCCCACAAACATAGGAAAGCTTCCCATCTTCTAATTTATTCATAAGGTTTATTTATTTATTTATTTATTGAGGTTTTTTGAGATGGGGTTTCTCTGTAGCTTTGGAGCCTATCCTGGAACAAGCTCTTGCAGATCAGGCTGGTCTCAAATTCACAGAGATCTGCCTGCCTCTGCCTCCCTAGTGCTGGGATTAGAGGCGTGTGCCACCACCGCCTGGCAAGTTTTAAAGTTTTCATTGTAGAAGTTCTTCACCTCTTTGATTAGGTTTATTCTGAGAATTTTTTTTAAAAAGACTATTACAAATGGAATTATTTCTCTGATTTCTTCCTTAATGTGTTTCACATTGGCATATATATAAACTATTGATGTTTATTTTTAAACCTGACACTCTGTAGAAAGTATAAATTAGTTCTAGGAGTTTTCTGGTGGACTCTTTAGTGTTTCTTATATGTAGCATCATATTATCCAAAACCAAGTTTGTTTTGAGTTTTTATCCTATTTGCATTTCTTTTCATCATAATGGTCTAGCTAAGACTTTGTGTACTTTATTGAACAGTAGTGGAGACAGTGGACAACCTAGTCTTCCTGGTTTTAATGATATTACATTGAGTTTTTCTCCATTAAGATGATATTTTGAATCTGTCACATGTAGTCCTTATAGATAAAGGCACATTCATGCTAACCTTATTTTCTATGGAACGTCTCTCATGAGGGAAAGTTGAAGTTAGTCAAAGTACTTTCTGAATCTACTAATGACTATATGAGTTTTATTTTTAAGTTCAAAGAAAGAAAGGGTACAGTCAATGTGAGAACTCAGGGAGGGCAGGTGAGGAGTTGGAAACCCTAGGTAAGAAGAATCTACTTAGAGGCTAGGTCTGCTCAGGGTCCTAGAAAAGACCAGCAATGCATTGGGTGGCCAAGGGAGAAGGAATGAGAGGGGACTACCTAGTGGCAAGGGGTTCTGAGAATGGATCAAGGGGAACTGGGTGGTTTAAGGGTAAGAAGGTGAGAAGTTTACCTGGAAGGAAGAATGGCAGTGGAGTCCTGAGGAAAGACAGGCTTGTCATTGGGCAGCATATGGGAGGAGAGAGGGTTCTACTGTAGTGGCATTTCATCTGTATTTTAATAAACAATGTTTGTCTGAGGATCAGAAAAGTGAAACAGCTACACTGACCAGCCTCAGACCAAGAAACAAGGACACACACTTTAATTCTAGTATCCACAATGACGCACACCTTTAATCCCAATAGCCACACTAGCTCATCATAGAAACCAAGTGGTAATGGTACATGCCCTTAATTCCGGAACTAGAGAGGATTATAAGACAGGAGGAGACAGCTCTCAGTCTTGATCCCATTCTCAGATTTCTGGAGGCAGGACCACCACTTTGAACTGAGGTCGAGGTAAGAGCCAGTGGCTGGCTGTTTTGCTTTTCTGACCTTCAGGTTGTACCCCAATTTCTGTCTCTGAGTTTTTATTAATTGTGCTTCATCCTGAACAACATTTGGATTTGGCAATCAGGGAGGTGAACTGTGCAGCTTAGAGAGGAAAAAGGATGGGGGGTCAACCTGGCAGCA